AATAAAAAAAAATGACTAAGTCTTATGTATTTTCTTCAGTCATTTTTAATTTTATGAGTTCCCATTTACAAGTGTTAAAAATGGACAGGAATGATTTTACCTCTTAAGTGATACTTTATATTAATTAAAGATATTTTGATTCAATATATATGGCAATAAGTTCCATATATTTTATCAATTAGTATTTGGATTCTTCAATGGGGATGTAGCATTAACAATCACTCTCTATAAAATAAAACACATGAATATTTTGATGGTCTCACAAATTTTTTCTCTTTTGCAAATTCTAAACAACAAAAAAAATAACAATTAGAGAACACTGATTTAACTTCCACCTTTAAAGAATTTTCTATATTCTTTCAAAAGAGAATATTAAAAATATGACCTTGCTATAACAATCTACTTTGTTAATACCATAGAATATTGATGGGAGCAAGAAATTGTTATCACTTATTGAGGAATTTTATAGTCAACTCCACAAATCATTAGGAAATGTTCTAGGCAAAAAAAATCAAAAACAAAATATCATAGTTATCCTTAAGGTGTTTTTTTTTTCACTATTTTGATGTTGCGTAGCTTAGTCTTAACCAAAATGTTTTCCACTTATTCTCCCTTCAAATTACTTAAAATACACATTAAACAGTACAATAGCAATGATCAAAGAGCACAAACTATTTTGAAGAACAGAAAAAAATCTCTAGCACACAGAGAGAGAGAGAGATCTCATAGGATAGAGCAGATTCCTTTGGAGATATTGCTCAATTAGCTGATAAATCATTATGAAGTTTTCTCTTTCCTCTTTGGCGGGGCATCTACTCTGTTTGCAGTCTCCACTCCATTTTCTGTTCCTTTTCTAGAAGACCGGCCTTTAATCATGGGTTTTTTCTTCTTCAGACTCGAGGCCTGAAGATTAGAATCCTCTAGCCACCTCTGAAGCCAGACTGTCAGTAAGGTCCATGTTATATAGGCTTGGATGGTGCAACTGGACGACAGAACAGCGATTTCAGCCGCCAACACGTTGACGTTTCCACTGATGGAATCCGTATCCCCATCCCGGGAATGGGATACAACCAAGTGTAGCCCAACAGTGACCAATGAAACAACTAAAGTCGTGAGTCGCCCCAAGACAAACACGATGGTCCACAGAGAAACCCCCTTCTGGTACTTCTCATCACTGAAATAAAACACGTCGCACAGGTGGGAAATCAATTCAACGAAATAATGCAGCACCAACAGAAGTAGTCCCAGGTGGTTCAAGTACAAGAGATAGGCTCCAGTGATGTGAAAGAGGTGAAGACCAATGTAGATGAGTTGACTAGGGATATCTTGTTTTCGGATTCTCTGGAAGTAGAGTTCCGGAAAACCATGAAACCAGTAAGCCAACTGTGAGATGTAGAAAAACTTCATTTGAAACGTCATCATGGTGTGGGAATGAGTCCTCCACAGGAGAGTGGGGTCTGACAGGCAGTTTTCGGACATGAGGATGATTGTGCCCCAGATACAGGAGACAATGTAGAATACACTAAACTGGCCAGATTCATTAAATTTGTTCTGTTTGGCTTTGGTGAACTGCATCCTCCTGCTAATTTTATCCAGGACGTACTCCTGGATCGTGGCGTGAATGATGATCACCACCAGCATGTAGAAGAAGACCGTGGCCAAATCTTTGACCCCGTAATGATACAGCGTCTTGGATCCCGCAGCCAGTTCTTCCGCAGGGACCACCACGCTGTGCTGAAGAGTGAGGAAAACGATCGACACTTCGGCCGTTCCCTCGAACATGAGCCCCAGCACGAAGAACATCCCCACGCAGGAGACGAGGTCCGCATGATTCTGCAGGATGAATTCTTGGCTCAGCACCGGGGGGTTCTTGGTGCCCTTCTTACGGAGCCCCATGGCGGCGCTTCCCGGATACTCACCGCCGAGCCGCAGCTGCCTCCCTCTGGCTGCTCCCTCACCACGCCGCTGCAGCAGCTCCGGGGGCTCCACTCCCCATGCCGGAGCCACCAGCCCAGGGTCGTAGCGACTGCCCGGAAAAATAAATAAATAAATAAATAAATAAATCCAGGGCTGTGGGGCCCGAGCGGGTCCGAGCATGCGCACCAGGGGTACGGCTGAGGCAGGGAAGGAAATCGAGCGCCGCGCCCCTACCCGGCGCCAGGCCCCGGCTGAGAGCGAGGATCTTCCTCGCGGATCGCAGCTCTTCCCATCCAGTGCCTCCGCCCAGAGGCACCTCGGAGCTTTTCTTCAGGGACATCCGCTTTATAAATGCGACAGCACGGATAGAGCTCTAGTTGCGTTTTATCATACTGTAAATCATAACCACAGTGTCGCTGTCGTCGTCATCATCGTCTTTATCATCAGTCCTCCTCCTCCTCATCGTCACCTCTCTGCCAACTCTCGTCGTGCTGTTTACCAGATGTCATTCCACGCACTTTGTTTTCGCTTACAAATTTAACCTTCCTAGAAAGCCAGCAAAGTAGATATTGATAGAATCTGCCCTCCCCACCCGCACCACCACTTTTTGTTTGTTTGTTTGTTTTTGTTTCTGAAGGACAGGAAACTGAAAGCACAGGGAAGTTAAGTCATTCACAGGCTGAACATCACATATTAACAGCCAAAATTTAAATCCAGTCTGGCTCTCCAAAAATGTACTTCTCACTACTGTGCTTTTAAAATCAGTCATATCTGGAAATATTAGATCAACAGCAAAACATGTTAGAAATAGCTCTATTAGCATTAATAATAATTTGGCCAAGTTAGTGATTTTGAAAAACCCGGTGGCAGCTGGATGCAGGGTAGTATTTACCAATTCATGGAAAGGTCTTTTGGCTACAAACATCAAGACCAAATTTCTCCAATCTCGTGTTTCATCTGTATGTTTTTTCGTCTATTTAGTTTTGCTAAAATTTACATTTCAAAAAAAAAGCTGCTTTTGTAAATGCTGGTAACTTTCTCAATTCAAATTTCACATGCGTCTTCAAATCTCTCTTTTAATGGTGAGTGATTTCGCGTTTCTTTGGTGTCTCAAGAGATCACAGTTATTAATGATGAGTTAAGATTTGAAGTTTGAAATACACATTTCAGGAGAAAAGGTGCTATGAGACTAAAAAAATAAAGCCAGTTTATATTTATTCTACCCAATTGCCTTTTATCATTGTCTTTCTGTAAGCGGTGAACTAATAAAAAGATACTATCCAGATTATGTAATTACTTTTAAGATATGGATCAGAATAGTCTGATCAATAAATAGTGTGCCTGCATTCCCTAGAATAGCCAAAAAAGGAGCACATGAAATTTGCTCTGGGGAATATTCCTCAGTTAAGGAAAATACCAGTATATTTTTCTATAGCAAGTATTCCCTATTTTTGAAGTATGTCTCACGGGATATTTTCACTTTTTTTTTAAGGGTCCATTACACAGTTTTTTCTTTAGTTATCCAAGTTTTAACCTCAATTATTGGCTCTGACATCTCCAGTATAAATTTTAAAAACCTTTAAGGTTAACTAAATTACTGAAATATTATAAACAGAGGTGAGCACTTTACTACTGAGCCAAAAAAAAAAAAAAAATCAAACTTATTGAAATCAATCTGTAGGAAGCAATCTAAGAGCAGTGTCTTGTAGGAATATCAAGAACTCTACTGGAAAAAGTAAGTATTTACCTGTTTCAGACTAATGATAACTTAAATGTAGAGTCAGTCTGTCTTTGTATAAGCATAAACATGATGACTGATCATTTGGTGGCAAACTAAATATAAAAAAAAAAAAACAACAACACTTGTGCAATTGGGGCTCAGTGGCACATGCCTGTAATTCCAGGGGCTCAGGAGACTGAGTCAGGGGGGTGTTGAGTTCCAAGCCATCCTCAGCAACAGTGAGGTGCTAAGCAACTCAGTAAGGACTTGTCTCTAGATAAAATACAAAAATGGGATTGTGAATGTGGCTTAGTGGTGGAGTGCCCCTTCGTTCAATCCCTGGTTAACCCCCCCCCCCACACACACACACCAAAAAAAAAAAAAAAAGAAAGAAAGAAAAAAGAAAAAATGCTTGTACAATTTCTGAATTTAGACTTTGTGTATATTTATTTTTGTTACTAGTTGATAGGCTTCCTTACCCTACCTGTGCCAATATCATTGATATTTTTACCACTAAGGAAGAAAAGTACATGTCAAAATGAAGCCAACAAATATTTATGCAATGATATAAGGTGTTATTTTATTATTAAAGGAATAAAAGCATTTATGGGAAAGTTTTAAATTGCCAATTGGCTTAATGATAAGTAAAAAATAAATATTTCCCCCTGTGCCCTCATTCCTTACTTGTATTTAAAAAAGCACTTCTTTCATCATATTATCTTTCACTTCTTTGAGCTTGTAACATAAAAAAGATTCTCTGTATTCTGAATTTTTTAAAAATATTTTATTTTAGTTATAGATGGACACAATACCTTTATTTATTTTTATGTGGTGCTGAGAATCGAACCTAGTGTCCCACATGTACAAGGTGAGCACTTTACTACTGAGCCACAACCCAGCCCTGTAATCTGAATTTTTAAATTTAAATTTTAAAGTAGATGTAGCCATTATTTGAATTTTAGATGTATTTTTCACACAAATATAATCATAAAAATATAAACTGTCAAATTTCTAAAATCATTGGACTCTAAAGGTACTTTGGTGATATTATATAATATTATGCTTGACATCAGTGGTTTTATTAACATTTTATTTGACAATGAATAAAATGTGTATAATAGTAATTTTTAAAATTATGATGGCACTATGATTATTATATCATTTAATGTACTTGGGCAATATTCCTCCTTTATACATGGCCCTGTGCCTATAGTACACATAATTATTACAATTCATATGTTGATTTATATGTTCATACATTCGTCTATGAGGGAGTAACTGAACTTCTACTCCTTTGTAACTAATCTTAAAAGTAAACATAATTTATGAAACTACTTTTGTTTCTGATATTGCAAGACACACAGAATAAAAATTTCTCCTAGAGAGAAGGGAGACAAGGGACATAAGTTTGGTCTCCCTTTTCCACAAATGTCCTAGTTTTCTGCCTGCCAGCATTTTCTAGACCATTGTGCAAGGAGAGAAAATCTAAAAGATCCAGGATATCTTGCTGATTTGAGAGACAGTACTTAGGAAAAGCTGAGCACCAAAATTTTCTAGCAAAGCATTTCTGCAGAGAGAGGTAATAAATGAGCACCCAAAATTTACATAAATCATCCTTAGAATCTAATACTAATATTAAGCCTTGTATGCAAAGTGATAAAATACATGCCACCCGCACAGAATAATAGAAAAATTGTACATTAAAATTTCCCAAAATTTAACAGATAACTAAGGGACTTTCAATGTTGGAATAGCTAAGCATTTTCATTGAATACTTGTAGTATTCTTTGGAGACAAGAGTTTTAAGTAAAGGTAAACTTTCGCTAGAAAAAAGAAAACTAATATTTCTCCGAAGTTTATAAGAAGACTTAAAAAGATAAAGGTGCTCCATTAGGAACTTAACCACCTTCCAAAATTTCCATCCCTCAACACTGGGAAATTTACATTGTCTAACATCTATCTAGTATAGAAGTAACAAACAAATGCTGTAGTGAGCTGGGACTGTCTACTAGAATGTCAACATATAGCCTCTTCATGTGGTGGTGACATCACCATAGAACATAGCTGAAGTCTCAAAGAATGAACTCTAAAATGAACAAGACAGAAATTCATAGTAGTTGATGACCTAGCATTAGAAGTCATATATAACTTTCATTGTCAAAGCAAGTATGAACCTGTTTACTTTCAAGAAGGGATGGAGGTGAGTATGAAATGAAGGGTGGGTATCATAGACGTCACCTGCTAATGAGATGTCCTCTGAGTATTTGTGACTGAAATTTTGAACAGCCACATCTATTCCCTTGGCAACACATTTGTTTCTTCCTTCATAATAGCCATGATTTCTTCCAGTTGGCAGGGTGGGGGGAAGCAATAGTTTCAAGCAAATATAATATCAGGCTCAGGCTTATTATCCAGAAATTTGAAAGCTAAATTAGATCCAAGCTGAAGTGGAGATCTTTGGGTCCTTTCTTTGTTATACTTTATCTTGTTCTGAAGATCTGTGAACACAAGAAAAAAGGATTCTATAAACATTGATGTGGCTGTATCCCTGTAGTATGCTATTTTTATGTCCTTTGGGTATAGTCTGAGAAGAGGAATAGCTGGATCAAATGGTGGTTCCATTCCCAGCTTTTCAATGAATCTCCACACTGCTTTCCATAATGGCTGCACTGATATAAGGCCGGTGACTCAAAGTGGGATAGGGAGGGAGAGCATGGGTGAAAATTACCTCTAGATAGGGATTAGGGGTGGGAGGAAAAGGGAGGGAGAAAAGGAATAGCAAGGATAGTGGAAGGAGAGGCTCATCATTATACAAAATTCATGTATAAAGATGTGAACTTGTTGTCAATATATCATATATACAAACAGAGATTTGATAAATTGTGGTATAAAAGTGTATTAAGAATCGTAATGCAAAAAAATTATGAATGTTATGCGCTCCACTATTGTCATGTATGTAAGAAATTAAAAAATAAAGAAATAAGGATTCTAGTCTTCACACCCACAAAGGCAAGAAAAATTCAATGGTTTAACTAATTCAGGAGTGGGTTAATGGATGCACACAGCATTCTATGATCAATAATGATTATGGAATCTATGCAAATAATGTCTATAGATCTTTGATAGGAATTGAATCTTTTTTCTGTGAGAAATGGTGCAATTGTTTTTTTCAAAAGCATGAGTTAAATATTATAAATTGATTTGTTGTTGAGTGTGATAAAAATTATAGGCCAAATAAGTCAAATGAT